GACCTATATGAAACACTAGTCACGTATCACAGCTTGAACCTTTTACACACATAACCCTCACATTTTAACTGACCTATATGAAATACTTGTTAAGTATCACAGCTTGAACCTTTTAGACACATAACCCTCACATTATAACTGACCTATATGAAATACTTGTTAAGTATCACAGCTTGAACCTTTTAGACACATAACCCTCACATTATAACTGACCTATATGAAATACTTGTTAAGTATCACAACTTGAACCTTTTACACACATAACCCTCACATTTTAACTGACCTATATGAAATACTTATTAAGTATCACAGCTTGAACCTTTTAGACACATAACCCTCACATTATAACTGACCTACATGAAATACTTGTTAAGTATCACAGCCCTATATGAAATACTTGTTAAGTATCACAGCTTGAACCTTTTAGACACATAATTATTCTAATAACCCTTATATTTTAACTGTACTTTTATATTACCTTACCTTTTACTACCACCCCCTCCCCCAGAAGAACTTATTCATCTCTTACACAGTGGATGTATTCACATTTTAGTATTGCTTACTGTGGGATTTTTTAAGTTCATTTCATTACTCAATCATCATTCTCTCTCTCTAAACCTTTGTTTATCTCAGTATTTAAATTTTCACATCAGTCAGATCCTTCCAATTAAAGAAACTTATCAACAGTGCTATCTTTACACAGTATCTCAGAACTTTCCCCAAATTTACATGTGTTATTCCCTAAGCAGGTTTCAAAATCATTAAAATAAAAAACGTATTACAAATGCACCAAACCACACATCTGGAGAACCTCACTGATGATATTAATCCAATCAGAATAATAACCAATTATCACCATCTCAAATTTATATCAGTATAAGAAGAAACTTAATAACAAGAAACAAAATAAGAAGGTGTCAGGACCTGAAGATGAAAGGTGGAAGACTTTTGAAACATCGTCCTCTACACTTGTGTCTCTACAATAGGCAGTTGTCATCCATTCTACAAAGTTTCATCAATGTGCATTTATCTACTAACATGAAAACATTTTGTTACTCTTGTATATGTACATTTACTGAGAGGAAACCTTTGCTCTTTTTGATTTACATCAATGACATAGATGAAGGAATGATCAATGAATTACATAAATTTGCTAATGATATTAAGATCTTGGGTGTTGTTGACTGTGAAGAGGATGCTGCTGCTTTACAAAAGGATTTAGACTATTTATTGCATTGGTAAAAAAAAATGGCAGATGGCTTTAAGTTATAATAAATGCAAGGTAATTCATGTGTGTTATAATTTAAATAAGTATAATTTGATGGGATTAACCAAAGCAGTAGTATATAAGAAAAAATATTTTGGTGTTCTGACTGATCAGTCTTTTAAACCATTCAAGCAATGTGTTGTTGCCAGTGGCAAGGCAAATAGTAGTTTTAGGTTTTATCTACAGAAATATTGAATACAAGTCAAAAGAGATCATAATTTCATTTTATATTTAACTTATTAGACCTCATTGGAAGTATTATGTTCAGTCAAAGGCTCCTTAAGTTACAAAGAAGAGTTAGAGGGGATCTGATTGAGGTGTGTAAGATTGTTAAGTGAATTAATAGTGTTGATGCATAATCTTTTTCATACTTCATGGTGAGAATGGTAGGACTAATTGACACAAACATACATTTTGGTAGGTTAGTCATTTTCAATTAAGGCAGTTTTAATTTTCTGATATTGTGGTTAGATGTAGCTTAGATGTAGTGGATGAAAGAAATTTAATGGAGTTTCAGAGAAGGCTTGAAAATTACTTGAATTGAGAAGAGCTGGCTTTGGTTTGTTGTTTTTTTTAAATTTAGTTTCATTCAAGCATCTTTTTGAAAAAATTCAGGGACTATTTTAAATTATTTTAGGTGTAAGTTTGAAGTTTTAAAAATTAAAGACATTTATGATTTTTGAACACATTTTTCCAAACATAATCAGAAATTTATCTTTTTTTCACACAAATAAAATTCAAAAAACGCAAGTTATTTTGCTTCTTAACTGTTTTTAGTTTACTCTGAATGTTAGTCTTCAACTTTGGTTACCATCGCATACTTCATACACATTAAAAAACTAATACGGAACTATATTATTTATCAAATTAAAGATGGGGATTCTGTGGGAAAATACAGGATCTATGAACTCCCCAAAAATTACGTTTTAATGGGGAAAAAAGTAAAACCTATACTTTGCCAGAGAAAATTGAAAACCTGGCAATACAACTACAAAAAATACAAAATTCGATGTTCACCTGGTAGAAATCGTCGTGACTCCTTAAAATAAATAAGCAACTGATTTTCGAATAAACTCGCATTTTTTATATTAGTATTTTTATTACCCAATCCAGCGACAAAAATGTATTTTAATCCTACTCCTACCATTCTATTCTAATTACGAGAACAAACTAACACCAAATCCTAACAATTACCAACGTTTAGATCATAGATATGGTTTAGATTAACCGAACTTCACTTCGAAGACCTCTGCCATCACGAACCAAAAACAGCGTCGTTATAATTTATAAATGAAAAACTGGTACTTTTATTCATTTAAACAAACGTCGAATTTATAAAAGTTGGAATATGTGTAGCGAATAGAAATTTAACAACAAATAAACAAAAATCCATTAAAATGTACTTTTTGTTAAATATATTTACATACATATATATCAAGATATGCCTACATCATTACATTCTAAAGACGTATGCCCATGTAGCATATTGAAACAAAAACACAGTCCATATCTCCAGAATGGACCAGGTGCGACTTAGTGGTTAGTGTACTCATACAGTGAAACCAAGATATGTTCGCGTCCCGTTGCCTCAAAACGCACTCCGCAATTTAGGTCCTTTAGTACGTTATAAGAGTAATAGTCAAACCCTACTTTTCGATAAAATAACAGCAGCACAAGAGTTCTTAGTGAGAGATCTTGGCTATATAGTTGCCTTATGTCTAATTATTAGTTTATAAATAGAGATATCTTTGCGCAGGTAGTTCCTTGTACAGCTCCAAAAAATTTGCCGAAAAGTTTCTGAAACAAATAAACAATTTGTTTATATCTTCTGGGAAAAAAAGTTCAACTGTACACGGTGTTTTCAGGTGCACCATAAATCATAGAAATAAGAGTAATAACAAAACAAATGGTATGATTGGTATTCACAAACAACGTAAAATGTTATTTTGTTTAATTACAACATCTTAGATTGCACACACTTGTGTTGGTCTCTCACATTTTGTGTCATTGTCATATTTCTGAATTTGATCATCTTTAACAGCATTTCAACTTTCGTAAACTCTTTAGAAATGACCTCTGATAAAGCCGAGCCTAGGGTATCTTCAATATTTATGAAAAAAAAATAACATTTTCTTCAATATTTATCCCCATTTTTTGAATATTCACCTTTCTTAAAATTACCGACAGACGTTCTTGATGACTTACATCAAGGTACAATTCACCAGTATTTAACAGTATTACACACGTTTCATTTTTAGAATAATTTCTTTTGACAGTTTGGTATTTGCAACTAAAAACTGATTTCCCGACAAGTATCAGATAGTTATGCCCGTAATAGCGGATTCGCTCAGGGAATAAGGGAAGTAATTTTGAAACTGACAACTTTACTGCGTTTTCCTAGTGTGTGTGTGAAATACTGAAACTGAACGAGTTTAGTAAAAAACGAATATCGTCTTTGTTACGAAATATAAAAAAGCGTCAAAAAAAATGATTAAAAATGTTGTTTGTTTTCACCATCTTTCTTATATATATATATATATATATTATCTCTTAGCATTTGTTGGTAAATCAGATTTTCAAACTCACGATGAATTAATTTATAAATATATTTTTTAACACTATATTAAAATTAAACGGCAGTCGAACATGTAAAATTATAATAAATAGACATAAGTTAGTGATATAATAAAAACCATCAGAGGACGCACGTTTCGAGTAAGGAGAGTGACTTTTTTTTATTTTAATTTGGAATATTGATATTTCATGGTTATAATGGTAGTCAAACGTAAGTGAGAAGTTGAATTGGGTCTTGTTTTAATTGTTAGATTATTCTTTATTAATTGGAATATCGTCTGGTACGTGACTTTTTTAAAAAAAAGTTACATCAGCAAATTAATGGAGTTAAACATTAAATGAAAAAGGTACAGATCTGACAAAACCTCGATGCTTAAAAATAAAAGTTAAATTAAAATTCGAGTGAACTCTTCTTCGTCGAGAGCCCACTTTCGGAAAGTGCTCGAGCTTCTGTCTGAGCGATTTTATTATATTAATTGTTGTCCGTGCTACTTTTTTTATATTATCGTTTAGCCCGAGAGCTGCTTCATATAAAAAATATTGTTATCGGATAATGGATAAATATTACCATTTAGTTATTTATTAATTCCGTGTTAAATTAGAATCTTATAAAACTATATGTCATATTTTTGTTGCAACACAAAGTTTTTCTTCTAATGTAATAAAGTATAATGTATCATATGAGACTGAGAGTGAATTAAGCTTAAGTTATCATTAAACACTTTTCTTTTTACCTACAGCTTCACTACTGCAGTATGTAATTGTAAGTACCAAACACAGCTGTTAGTGTTTATATGATATTGAGGAAAGTATTAATGTATAGTTTCTTTCATGTATATGTGTGTGTAGGGGAGGGGGAGTAGCAGTCACTATTTGAAATTTTATTTAAATTATAGGAATGGATTTGACAAGAAGAAGGTAACTGGAATTTATTTTGTGAGAAAGTAGTTCATAAGCCTACATTATATTTATAATATTCATTACTTCATTTATAGAATGATGGTTTATAACATCATTATTATAGGATAGCCAAAATTGGGAATGATAATTATAGCTTTCATTGTATTTCACATGTTCTTAGAATTTTTAATGTAGTTTTCTCCCATTCAGGCTGTTGTTACTTGACCTGGTTTGGAACAAAAAGACAAGCTCACTTGTTCACCAGTTCTTCTGTATAATACTGATAGTAAAGTTAATTCAAGTAAAGATAATAATGAACGATTGGCATTAAAAATAAATAACATTGTTTTATTATTCTGATTTGTAAATTACTTAAATAAAATTTATAATAATTATGCTTTATTTACATTGTGTAGTTTACATGATCACTGTTAATGTTTATGCAATTTGTTATAAATGGTGCCTAGACCACTGTTTGTTCTATCTCAGCCAGCCCAATAAGCCATAGTATTTTGTGAACTGAAAGGCCTTGTTAGCACTGAATATGGCAGATATAGTGCAGTTTATGTATTATTACACCTTCTTTGCTTTAACTCGTAAGTTCATAAATTTATTTCAGTGATTTAATTTTTAATGTATTTTAAAAATGCTTACAGAATAACTAAAAAACCTTAATGGGCTGATTTGTACTGGATATAGCAGAATCTACGGATTTAACACTAGTTTTAAACTAAAGCTTTCAGTGTGGATTTGTGCTTTACAAATGTGATACTTTATTCAAGTTCAGTAAACTTGAAATACTTGAAAGTTATTCTGAAGAAAATTGTTATCAACCTTTATTTAAACTAGCAATAAAAACCCATCATCTTTTATGAGGTTCAAAGGCACCCTCATGATCAGAGAGGCTCCAGTGCCCAGATCAAGTTGCTACATTATCATAGTTACTTGGCACCCTCATGATCAGAGAGGCTCCAGTGCCCAGATCAAGTTGCTACATTATCTTAGTTATTTTTATAGCTACCCTCATGATCAGAGAGGTTCCAGTGCCTAGATGAAGCTGCTACATTATCTTAGTTATTTTTATAGTTACCCTCATGATCAGAGAGGTTCCAGTGCCTAGATAAAGCTGCTACATTATCTTAGTTATTTTTATAGTTACCCTCATGATCAGAGAGGCTCCAGTGGCCAGATCAAGTTGCTACATTATCTTAGTTATTTTTATAGTTACCCTCGTGATCAGAGAGGCTCCAGTGCCCAGATCAAGCTGCTACATTATTCTTATAGCTACCCCAAGGGTGGAGGGTCTATACCTAAAAACCCAGTTATGACAACTGCCTGTTTCACGTGTGTGTGTGTGTGTGTATGTGTGTTCAGGCAGGACCCTGCTAGCTTGGGAGTTGGAGTTTAAATACAGTTTCAAATATGGTGTCTCTGAGAAAACCAGAAACACAAATTCCAATGCGGGATTAAAGTTTAGCAACCCTGAAAACCTACTTTAGAACCTCATCATGCCTGGGAGATTTTCCAGGTTAATTTCAAACCCCCCCCCTTGGCCATATAGGTAACCCTGAGTGTATTTGCAAAGTTTATCTCTAAAACAATAGGAGGAGTTTGTAGACAAACTCACGATGTGGATCAGTATAAAATACTCATTACATTATGCATAGAGATGAGTTTTACTTACTGCTATTACATGTCAAATTATATTTTGAATACTTTTAGAGAGAAGAAAACTAAAGTAAAAGAATGGGAACTGATAGTGCCACCGAACAAGTCATTCTTGCTACAGGAGGCTATGATCACACAATTCGTTTTTGGCAAGCTCACAGTGGAATTTGTCAAAGAACTGTTCAACATGCAGACTCTGTATCCTTTTCAAGATAATTTGTTGTAGGGGAAGCAATTTAAGACACTTGAATTGGTCCTGAAAAGCATTCAGAATTTTGAGTCTCAACATATGCAAGGAATTGTGAATTGCAAACCTTACAGATATGCTCCATTTTAATATTTGTGAATTTGTATTTAATTGTTCTTGTTATAATCATTTAGAGGCTACAAAACTTAACATCGGGTGGTGATAAAAGACAATTTTGTCCGTCAAGACCTTCTTTCCAATTTGGTTCTCCTAATTCAAGAAAAATAAAAAAAGTTATTTCTAATCTGCAGCTGTATACACCAACATTTTAATATCATTTAAATCTTCAGGTCTGCCAAACTGTTTTAGGATCTAATAACTATTTAATGTGAAATGATGTTGCTTAAAATTAACCTTCTGCATAAATTTTCAAGCTCTGTTGTATTTTTTTGTGTTCAGACTAGTTTTATTGAATTTAGTAACTAAATTTGTCAACATATTTCTTTTACTCGTTTACCACTTTTAACACATTTGATACCATGGTCCTGTTGACCTTTACAAGGTGTGCAACTGTATTTAGGATTCTTCTGTTTACCATGGTCCTGTTGACCTTTACAAGGTGTGCAACTGTATTTAGGATTCTGCTGTTTACCATGGCCCTGTTGACCTTTACAAGGTGTGCAACTGTATTTAGGATTCTGCTGTTTACCATGGTCCTGTTGACCTTTACAAGGTGTGCAACTGTATTTAGGATTCTTCTGTTTACCATGGTCCTGTTGACCTTTACAAGGTGTGCAACTGTATTTAGGATTCTTCTGTTTGGTTAAATATACATTAAAAAGCTGATACGAAGTAAGTTCATTGTTACCGAGCTTTATCCAAGAACATTTCCATTCATACATTCCATCTTGGGTTTAAGTCTGGATAAATTGAATAGTTCTTATTCCAATTGTATCTGAAAGAAAAGCCACATCTTGTTCATTTACATTTAGCATCATCACTCTGTAACAATAATCAGTAACATCACTCGGTAACAATAATCAGTAACATCACTCGGTAACAGTAATCAGTAACATCACTCGGTAACAGTAATCAGTAACATCACTCGGTAACAGTAATCAGTAACATCACTCGGTAACAGTAATCAGTAACATCACTCGGTAACAGTAATCAGTAACATCACTCGGTAACAATAATCAGCATCATCACTCGGTAACAATAATCAGCATCATCACTCGGTAACAATAATCAGTAACATCACTCGGTAACAATAATCAGTAACATCACTCGGTAACAACATGTTTTCTTAGTTTTCTCACTCGGTAACATGTTTTCTTAGCTTCTTAATATCAGGAATAATTTTGTTTCATTACTCCATTTAAACTTAACTCTCTTTTACCATATTGTTCTGTTGTCTTTAATCTGAAATCTGAAACTTAATATTTCATCTTAAAGTTCATAACAACTATTCTTGCAACATATTGAGAAACCATTAAATGGTGTTAGAAGATATATTGTAGAAAATTCCAGCACAATTTTTCTCAAGAACTGAGTTTTGGCAAAATGGAAAATATTTGTTAAAAAAAAAAATAGGAGGCAAATAATGTTGAAAAACTCAACTTTTCATAATCCACAGGTATTATCGCAGCATTTTTTTTTAGTAAATTCAGTTTTCTGTGTCACTTACCCCAGATTTATTGTAGGATTGAATGTAAACTGCCTAATTCAAGTACAGCTTTGAAATTTTGTGTGTGATGGTTGTTTTTAATCTTAAAAGTTTTCAAAACTGGATTCTACCTTTACTTGAACAAAGCAGGTGAATGCCTTGGATATCAGTAACTGTCTATCTGGTGTGTCAGCTGCGGGTATGTAATTTTTATTTATTATCACACCAGACAGACAGTTACTGTCAGCTGCGGGTATGTAACTTTTATTTATTATCACACCAGATAGACAGTTACTGTCAGCAGCAGGTATGTAACTTTTATTTATTATCACACCAGATAGACAGTTACTGTCGGCTGCAGGTATGTAATTTTTATTTATTATCACACCAGACAGACAGTTACTTGCAGCTGCGGGTATGTAATTTTTGTTTATTATCACACCAGAAGGACATTTACTGTCAGCAGCTGCGGGTATGTAATGTGATGTCCCATATTTTATTTGTGTATATAAATAAGTAAGAAAGAGACAACTTAAGTTTTTGTATTTTATTCAGTTTTTTCATTAAAGTCACACTTTTGAAATACTTTTATTCAATATAAACTGATGAAGTTTGAAGTGTCATCCTCAACTTTACAGACAGATGTAATTAATAAGTTTCCAAACCAGTCCAGTCTCATCTGGTTAAGCAAGAACATTGTTTTGTGTTTTAATACAGTGTATTAATCGTGTCTCATAAGCTTCAAATACATCTTGTTGTTAGCTAACTTCTCTGAGTCTTACCTGTTCTGTAGGTGTGTGTTCATGGAGAAACCTGTTCTATTGAGAATTGATAATCTTTGGTCTGTTCTTGAAACACCTCACTCATATTTAGGAAGTAAATAAAGATCTTTGGTGATTGCTGAATCATTATTCTACTCTTTTTTTATTCGCTGTCTGTATCTCGTACTGATTTTTTGGCAAAGTAAAGGTGCTACCATTTTTACTGATTCTTATATATTTTTTTATATTACCAAAAGTGGTTGTAATACTTACAGCTAAAGCTTTTTAAAAACTTTGATACCCTTTAGATGCAGGAAAATGTTTCTTTTTTTTAGAATCTATCCACTTTTCTCATCTTATATAGATGTAGTGTCAAGAAATATAGGTAATAACAATGTACATAAGCATATGGTTGAGAGGATCTTGGGTAAACTAGGCAATAACAGTGTACATAAGCATGTGGTTGAGAGGATCTTGGGTAAACTAGGCAATAACAGTGTACATAAGCATGTGGTTGAGAGGATCTCGGGTA